ATGAAGCCCTCAAAGAATTTGTGTTGCACAATGCAGAGGCAGGCTCTCCTGAAGTTAGACCAGACCCTGCCGGTACCCTGGGATGTGTCTATTTCCAGGAACGGACAGCAGATGTAACAGCCTGAAACACATCGGAGGCGTTGCTGACTGATTGGCTTCTGTTCTCTTGATGTAACGGAAACTGTTACAGCTGCAGTGCAGGAACTTTGATATCATCTCTGTATGTCACAGTTTGTTGAACTTTTAAATTGGGTCTACATCATCCATCAAACTGAGGCACTGAAAACTAAATCATGCACAGAAGAACCAAAAGCTGCAGTTCCTCTAGCAGAGGATCCAGCAGTGAGCCAGTCCCCATAGATTTAACATGTCCCTATGTTAAAACTTTACAGCACAAATAAACATGTTTACAGCCTGAGACCAAATCCATATCCATAATTTCCCCCTTTCATGACAACTGTAAGAGAGTGAGAGAAGGTTTGTATTGAGCCTTAAAGTTGGCATTATTAGGGGCGTGGCCTCTTTGACTAACAGGTGGATGGTGACACAGGCGGGTGTAGCTGCTAGCTGTCTGCCAATTGCAGTCCCTGAACTGGACCTCTGGACCGTGTTTGTGCTGTTGGAGCCTTTTGGATCATTTTTATTACAATCATCTGACCAATAATATGGCTGCTGTGAGGTTAACTGGACCAACAGACATTCAAGAAGTCTGAGGTCCAGTTTCAGGGACTGACACTTGAGGATTTTATTTGGATGTTACTGAACACTAATTAGCAGGTATCCGAGTCTGTGTGATCCAAATATGGTGAAACATGAACACGTTTACCAAAGCTCAGTATTTACGTAATTACTCTCACTGCCAGAAGAGGGAGACAAAGGTTTGTCACTGCAGGTTTAAACTATTTTACATATAATAATTTGATATAACAGTGTGTGTGTGCTCATACTGTTGCAGCAGCAGTCCTCAGGTTCTGGATGAGTTTCATCTTTACGTTTCTGCATGGCGTCACACTGCAGACACAGAAGTTCACAAACATAAATAAACTTTAATGTCCTAGTTACTTTAAAATACTGTCACCGGACTAAGTGTTCACACTCTGAAACCTCACGCGGTTTATGTCTCGGGTCTTTACTGTGTCTGTGAATTCAGGATGGCTGATTTCAGTCCTGTAAAAGTCTGATGATCACCTGCAGCTTCTTTAAACTGTTGCAGTGATTTTAACATCAGCAGCTGCTGATGAATTTCAAACTAAAACCTGAACTTTACACGGTCCAGTCGTCTGCTTTAAACCTGTGTGCTGTGGATGTGTGTGTGAAAGCAGTCTCATCGCTGTGTTTCACTCAATTCATCATAAAGACAACTGCAGTTATGCTGAAGCTCTGATGATGCTGCGGTCGCACCGAGTGTGGAGAGATGTTCTTCATGCACAGGGATCACAGTGAGGAAAATAGCACTGTGAAATAATAAATACACAAACATGTTTATCTGCTGGTCATACTCGAGGCCGAAGCCGCGTCACACATCAGTATTTACTTTTAACATGAAATTCTGCTCTAGGATCAAAAACAGTAGAATCTGCTTTACATGCTGCGTCTCCTTTTCTTGTGCATTTTCAGGCATCCTAAACTCGATCTCAGCCACAGCGACGGGGGCCTCCCAGGCGGCCATGTTCGTGTGGTTATCATCGAGGGTCAGCTGATCTGAGCTCACAGAGCTTAAGGCCAGATGCTCCTCCTTGTTGTCTTTTTCAGTGTCACCTGCAAATGAGGAAAACATGAAAATCTTTTCAAATTAAAAGCTCTAAATCTAAAACTTAAAAAAGACACAGAAATCCAAATACGATCCACAGAAAAAAAAA